ACACTTGCTTATTGTTCCCAGTGATGCAACCAATCACTTGATCAAGAAAAAGTTGAGCAAAATCCAGTCTTTTGTTGTACACAAAAGTAAATAAAATGCTTTCCTTAAAGAGATTTAGTTGATCCAAACTCCCAGTTTTGTGTCCAATGCATTTACCAATAACTCCAGTTAAGTATTTCCATCCTACACCAAAACACTGATGACGAGTTTATTTGTAAGGATCATGAGTGGTGTCCTGAAGATTAAAATTATACCGCAATTTTCACAAACAGACTTACACCTTTCTTCTAAGGGAGTTTCAGAATAATTTTCTAATCAAGGAATATGAAGAGCAGTTCAAGAAAGATTCCACATCAATAGTAACGTTATATTATCCATTTCTAATGCTTCAAGTAATGGTTTTAGCATCAAAATCAACATATCATGAATAGTAGAACTCACATACTTATTTACGGTAAAATGGATCTAGGAAGTCGTAGAAGGCATATCGAAGAGGACAAATCTTAACATAGTTGACGAAATCTTCGATTCCAAAGTTTGCAAACTACTTTAGGATGTTATCAGGGAACGCCACATTGTTTTCTTGAATGATAATCGGAGAGTCAGGGGCATGAGGACCTTTGGCGACATTAACATCGGGGGCAAACTCATAGATTAACTTTGACATGGTGAAGGCTTGCGGAAGATGATGGTTGAGAGAGCCTTTTTTGATATATATATATATATATATATATATATATATATATATATATATACATACACACACACACACACACACACATATATATATATATATATATATATATTGAGAGAGAGAGAGAGAGAGAGCTAATTGCTTGAATAACTTGTAAAAGTAACCTAGGAAGGAGTATTCCCAATTTATAGCAAAAGGTTTCTTCCTTTTTACGTAATCATGATTGAAGAGATATGTGTCATAAAAATATTGTATCCCAAGATAATGATGGACCTTTTAATCGTTATAGAAAAGTTACCGTTGAAATAAAGAAGTTACATTAGTGAGACATATCATCAGCGGTAATAAACATCAGCGAGTAGTTTGATGAAGGTCGCCTAGTAAGTTTGTGATGTCTCCTGATAGTATAGGTTCGAACTAACATTCATTCACATAGTATCGCAAGATTCATTAGCGTGTGGTTTCATAAACTGACTCATTAGTCACTTTTATTAGAAGAAAAGGGCAAGAATGGTATGATGCGTGTGATACATTCTAGTATGAAATGCATCTATCAGAAAAGAGTGTCAAAGTTTTATCAATGTATCACTAATACAATGAATCATTAACGTCTTAATAGAAGAATTATTGGGAAAGAGTGGGCAAGTACATGTAATATATCACATACAATGATATACCCATCGGCACAAATTTTTCAAATTCTTATCAGCGTTTGGTATCATATGTTGAATCATATAATTCTAAAGAAGACTATGGAGAGAATGGTTTGATGCGTGTGATAATTTTTGGTGTTTTAGCTTTACCATCGACATAGATTTTTCAATCTCTCATCAGCGTATTGTACATTACGCTGAATCATAAGGCATTAAAGAAGAATTCAGGGGCAAGAATGGATTGGTGCGTGTGATAGCCTATGATATATAGACTAACCATTGGCACAGAGTTTGAACCTTTTATTAGTGTGTGGTATTTCACATTGAATCGTCAAGTTTTATTAAGAAGATATTGTTTCAGTCGAATCAGCATTAATCATAAATGATGTTAACTCATCGACAAAAAGTGGTTTAATTTTAGTATCACCATCAACTCATTTCAAATGGTACAGGAAAGAATAATAAATAGTATAAGAATACAACAAAAGAGTTAGTCAAACAAGGAAATATTCAAAAAGTGATATTTGTACAACTTTTTTAGAACATGATAAAGACTCGATCTACGAAATCCTTTGAATCGAATGGCCATAAACGTACTTACATTTTCCGAGATATCTACCCCTCAACATTGTCTATAAAAGAGAGCAAAAAAGATCAAATATATCAAACAAAAACACAATTCATAGTAAATATATATATATATATATATATATATATATATATATATATATATATATATATATATATATATATATATATCCTTTAATCATTGAGATATTGTAGATTGATTCCAAGATTTGTGTTCACCACGAACGAAGAACGAGCATGAACCAGTCTTTGTAACCGACAAGTTAAAAGGATATAATATTTGTAACCTTCGAGTTATAAAAGTCACCAAGACAAAACTTGAAGGTTCCACTCGTTGTGATCCATGAAGGAAGAGAAGGTGGGACAATTGTATTGTTGAAAAGGCCTTTTGATCTCTAAGGGGATGGTGTTGTAGTGATAGCGTCAATGGAAATTAGACATGTTATGTCACCTAACTTCACTTCATCCAGTTTTAACAGAGATAGGTTGTTTAAGACGGAAGAGATATGTGCCCAGAAGAACACTTAGTGACACATTTGTCTCCTATCTGATCTCATCAATAGGATGCAACTAGCCAATTAACATGAGCAACATCATCAGGAAGAAAATTTTTGGTGCTGAAGAAAAGGTGCAGACTCAACGTCAACTAACTCTACAAGGAAGGTAATGAATTCGGTGAATGACATGCTGATCCTTTCAAAAGGAGCAAATTTGTTAAGATCATTATCGATAGAGAAGAACATGTATAGGCAATGTTTGTAAAATGTTGTACAATGTATACTCCTTTGGTAAAATAAAAGTTAAAAAGAATTTTTGAAGCAACAAGTTATAGTAAATAAAAAATCAAGTAGCTTATGTTCAGAAATTTAAAAGTAGTAAAGCATAAAGGAAAAAAAATAAAGTAGCAATGTCTAAACAAACAAAATGAAACCATATAAATGTTGTTGCCCCTAAGTGAAGTAAGAACAATTTTGTTCTTAAAATCAAAAACCTTTCCTTCATGGAAATCTAAATGAAATTTATAACTATCCTCACAATGTTGATTGATGGAGATGAGATTGCTTTTAAGGCCTTTAACATAGAACACCTCCTTTAGCTTGAATCCCCTTCACCCAAAAGTTCCGACTCCCTTGATAGATTCATCATTGTTGTCACCAAAACCACCTTGGGACCATCTTTCTTCACAAAATCTATTAAGAGAGATTTAAGGTCGGTCATGTGTCTAGTGGACCCACTGTCTAGGTGCCAAGTATGTTCAAGATTTAGACTTGATCCTTAGACAACATGAGAAGTATCATCATCACACATGTTAAGATTACCATCAGGGGAGTCGTTGATAAGAGCCATTAGACCCTTAACACGCAGCCCCTCATCTTTAAATGTCTCTTTATCTTCCACCTATTCTTCATGATCCTCTTGTTTTACAATGAAAGACTTTTGCAGGGAGATATTCTCCTTCTTCATGTTGGCCACCAGCTTTTTGTACAAAACCTCATAGTGCTTAGGACTTTGAGATTCTTTATTCTCTTTGTAGTTCCTGGAAAAATGGTCCACGCTAGCATAGTTAAGATAATTACCTAAGTTTTTCTTCTCTAAAGAGGGTCTCCTTACTAAATTGCCTCCCTTAAACTGAGTTTTTTGAACCCCGTTTGATCTGATTTCTTTGTAAGGTTTGACAATAAGTGCAACGCTAGAAACAAGTTCATCGGTGAGATCTTAATCACTCTCTTTACCTTGATCTGAGATATATGAGTCGCTGATATGCTTCTTTACTTCTTTTCAAGATATCAAGGCTACAGAATTTTCCTTGCTCAAATCTTTTATGATGTCTTTACGAAGTGCTTTGGTCTCTTCATAATATCCATGACATTGATTTTTCCACTATTCTTGAGGACATTGGTGTCATTTTCCCATGTTTTCCCAAGAGAGTCAAGAAGCTTTAGAACCAACTGAGATGAGTGCTTGATGACACCCAGCCTGCACATATCATTAACCAAACAATTAAACCTATTGAAGGTTTGAGTCAGTGACTCACCTTGTTGAGAAAATAAATGCTCATATCTTCAATTGAGGTTGTTTATGGTTGTGGGTTGAACTTCCACGATGCCTTCATAAGCCACTGTCAGCATATCCATCATCTCTTGAGCTGAATCACAATTCTGGACAAGATGGTACATGTGATAAGGAAGAGAGTTTCCAATCACTACTCTAGCTTTATATATCAAGAATCATCAGCCTCTTGTCATCATCGTCATAGCCAGTCTCGGGTTTTTGCTTTAAGGGACCAACGAGAGCATTGTTGGCCATAGGTTGCTATATAGGAACTTGATGACCTTTTTCAATAGTTTTACGCATCTCATAGTCCATGGTTTCAAGAACAACCATGTCCTTAGTTTCCCACATGGAGAAGTTTTACTCATCAAAAGGAGGAATCTTGTTCAGACCAAAGGATTTAGGATTATTGGAAGTTGACATGGTTACTTGAGTGTATCAAAAACCAAATCTGATACCAATTGAAGGTTTGTATTGATCGGATACGCTTTAAGTATAAAGAATAAAATCAAACGTAATCTAAGAAAATAAAGAACAGAAAGTAAAGAACACAATGAATTCTCCAAATTATCTTTTACCAAGAAAGGGTTTATTTTCATCAAGAAAACAAGTTGTCACAAAGACATTCACCAAGACAAACAACATTAGGGTTTCACCCTAATGTTACTAGTATATATATATATATATATATATATATATATATATATATATATATATATATATATATATATATATACTAGTATATCCCTTGATTGAAGGATTATATCAAATCTATACTAAGAACCGATCATTATCACAAAGATATCAGATCTGCTATCTATTATATACATATCTTTATCATTACCTAATATACAAAAGGTTACATATAATAACTATCTATACGCTGACACTAATAAACTTGATACATTGACGCTGATGGTGATGTAGACGCTAACACTAACAGTTGCGTGTAGAGTGTTTGACTCATCAAATCATAAGGTGTGACTTTACGATCGTGGACCAGTGTGGTTATG